TCAAGCCATGCCAGGTGCAGGGTCTGCTAGCTGGGTGCTGGCAGGCTTGCACCTGGCACGGGCACTGTAGCCAGCCCGTGCCCCTTTAAGGAGTCCAGGGCCAGGAGGGGGGCAGACGAGTTTCCCTGGTGTTAGCCAGAGTGGCCACCAGGGAAAGCTGGGGAGGGCTAGCCTCCCACTAGTTCGAATTAAGGGGCTACACACCCCTTATTTTGAACTAGTAAGTTCAAAATAGGCTTAGTCCTCGTAGAATGAGGTTTACCTAGTTCGAACTAAGCGCTCCGCTAGTTCGAATTAAGTTCGAACTAGTGGAGCGCTAGTGTATCGCCTATCAAAGTTAATTCGAACTAACATCTGTTAGTTCGAATTAACTTTGTAGTGTAGACATACCCAAATTTACCCACAGAGCTAAAAGGTGTGGAGTGTGCTGTACCATTCCCATTGCTCTGCTGGCATCCTGGCTGCATCTTGTGTTATCTGCAGAGGTTAAAGAACAATATTTCTTCTTCCTCCCTGTAAAAACCGTTTATGTACTTAACCATTATGTCCCTTCTCAGTCTTCTTCCAGACTAAACAAATCTATTTTTGTCAGTCTTCCCTAACTGGTCATTATTTTCAAGACATTTAATCATTTTTGTTTCTCCTCTCTGGATTTTCTTCAATTTGTTCACATCTTTCCTGAAACGTGGCATCCAGAACTCCAGTTGTGGCCTAAATAGCACTGAATAGAGAAGAATTACCTCTTGTGTTTTGCTTACAGTACTCCTGCCAATACATCCCCAAATGTTGTTTGCTTATTTTGCAACAGTGTTACAATGTTGACTCATATTTTGCTTGTGGATCTACTATAACCCACAGATCTTTTTCTGCAATACTCCTTCCATTTTGTAAGTGTGCAACCAAAAGTGAAAGTTAGCTGGTGGACCCTTATGCAGAGGGCTTGACAATTAGGGCAATCTACTTGCCCGTGGCAAGTAGATTTTAGCCCAGCACCACAGTGCGATCAGCGCATGCGCAGCGCGCCAAACTGCACGGCTGGTGAGCAGGGCTCGCCACTTGTCAAGCCCTGCTTATGCACTATACTAGTAAGAAAATAGCCTGGGTAGAGATGGAGCAGGGTTCGGAGGGCTACCGGCCTCCACACTAGTAAGTGCCTGTGCTCATGCTGGGCATGGGCAGCTCACCCCACCCCTTTTATCCTCGTCGCTCACAGGAGATCAATCCCCTTGCTCCACTGTGTCCTCCAGCCCAAGGGCTGGACGGCCAGAGGTGGAAGCGATGTGGTCACAGCTCTGGTGGGCCTAAGCCAGACCCATAGGCCCTGGGCATTATGGTCACAGCACACCACATCTCTGGTTCTTGGGTGGCTGGAAGGTGTAGTTGCCACCCTGGCCAGCCCTGGGGATCCAGTGGCTGGGCAGCACAATGACCACACTCCTAACGCACACCACCAGACCCCTGCTCTGAGTCTCCCATACTAAACTCCTTTCCCTGAACTCACCCAGACATCCCACCCACCAGTCCTGAGTACCCTCCCCAGAATGGGGGTGTAATACGAAAATACCTGTAAGAAATTTCAGTTACTTTCTTGCATGAGCAACTGATTGTTTATTCCTAAGTGGAGTATTTTGCATTTGTCCTTATTGCAGTGATTGAACTGATCCTTCTGAATTTATATTCTATTTTAATATTTTCCAGCCACATCAGATTATAGATAAACCTCCAGCTCAGTTATGCACAAGCTTTCCAGAGAGACGGAGATCGGTGACAGAGTTAGCACAGGTAACGTCAAACACCCTCCTATGACAAGACTAGGCATTTCTCAGGCAGGGAAAGACACTTTGTGGTAAGCTATGAGGTTTTCAGTTTTTATTAGATTGGTGATTCCGTGAAACAGTAACTTGCAGGCATCAAGATGGAAGTACACAAAGTACACACTAAGAAAAGGGTAGGACCTGCTCTGTCTGCTATTGTGTAGCTATGGAATTGCCTGTAGAATTCCAGAAACCTGAGTTTTCACTATAATTAACTTTCAGGCCCTCATTGACAGAAAGGGACAAATACCAGATGCTTTTAACCAATCTAATATCCTTGAAACAAATTCCAATTTTTACTTGAACACTTGTTAACCTAACTCCAGAACTGCCACTGCTATCAATGGAAAGTTTAAAAAAAATAAGATAGAATGGCATTATGTAGTAGCTCAATTTTGTATTCTTCAGTATCTTGTTAGTATCAGACAGACAATATGGAACTATTATTATTCTTGTCCATGGTTTGTTTTCCCTCTAAATTTCTTCATGGCACCAACTGCTACTTCCCAGTGAGCTTCACTCCTACCCTTCCAGTCTATTTCCATGGTCCACGTGGAATAGTCAAACTTTCCCTTGAAGTCATTGGCTTCAGAATTGATAGTTCAGTGACAAAAATAGGGGCCAAAGAGTTCACCTCTCGCAAAGCTTTTGATTCCCAGACATCACTGTGTAGGTTAGCTTCCAAATAAAAACAGACACTCACTTTTTGCAACCATTTTTACACTTATTTTTAGACAGTGGAGATTTTGCATTAGGTGAATGCCATATGGGCTTCAAATGTATCACAGCCTACATCTGGAACATAGGCTGTTTCTCCCCTTGTGTACTTGTCTATGTGCAAATTACAAAATACTTCTGTCCATGCTAAAAGCCTAATGCTAATTTGTCAGCTGTAGCATCAGAGGGGAGGGATGTGGCTACTATGCACTGCGTAAGATGACAACTGGGAGCAGGTCACTGATTCTTCCTCAATGGCAATCTCAAATAATTAAGCAGTATAGGAGTTGCTGTGGAAGATGCCTTGATGTGGTAGATTAGAGGCTCACAGAGCAGATGTGCTATAGCTACATATGCCTGTATAGCATGGTGTGGAGGCAAGCTTAGAGTCAGCTCTGTTGCATGACTGAATTCCACTGCAGCAGACACACTCTTGACCACCTTCTCTAAGTAATTAGATGGGTAGCCGTGTGTAGATAGAAAATTGTGTATGCATTCACAGCTGTATCCACAAAAATGAGTTAGATATCCGCAGATTTGCAGGGCTCTATAGATGGGCTCCCGAAGTAGTCAAAGTGAGTTGTCTAAACACAGACTACACTTTTTAAAAATAAATGTATCATCCCTGTCTAATCACTCTTGTCTAAGGCTTATATTACCTGCTCCAGGTCAAAGCTTTTTGGTAGTGGGACAGTAGCAATTAATAAGACTTTTTTCTAACATACTGTAGTTACACACCATAGCCACTACTACAATTGTTAGACTTTTCTGATGATAGCCTCCCTCCCTTTTGGAGCAATTACTGCTTTTCTTTGTCCGCCAAGATTGTTATTAGGCAAGCAAATAATCCTTTACTGGTTTGTAATACTTAAAATCAGTGTTTAACATGCTGTCTTAACTGTATAATGAGGTTTTCCACGGTCGAAAAAACTGCCACGTTCTTTTGATTTACTTTCGAAAGAACACGGCAGCAGTCTAGACACGCAGGGGAAGTTTTCAAAAAAAGGCCACTTTTTTTCAGAAAAACCCTGTAGTCTAGACACACCCTTAGTGTGCATGTGTAGTAAAACAAGCATTTCTGTGAACCCATGAATGCTACTTTAAAACCATACTTAATTACATTGAAAATGAAATGTACCTTAAATAAAATCACCTTTGTCTTTGCAGTCTGTGCTGAAATCGTCAACATTTGCGCTCCCCCTGGCATATCAGCATTCTGTGTGGAGTGCTGATGAATTAGGGCCTTTTATTCGCCTATGTCTCATGGATCAGAACTTCCCAGCATTTGTGGAAGAAGTGGAGAAGGAGTTGAAAAAACTGACAGAAGGTTGAGAAAAGTTAATACTGTATTTCAGGTAATAAGTTAAGTGGACACAAATTTGAGAGTATTTTTTTGTCAGTGTTTTATTTTTAAAAACAGGTGAATCCACTTTTTATACATCATTGCACATCAACAAATACACAGAACACAAGTTCATGCATCTACATTTATGCACGGCATGTGAACGCTGTTAGGTCTGTAATTCTACAATCAATCTTCAAATCAACATGAGAAATTACAGTGTCAAACTTAAGAATATATCTAGTTGCATAGAATATCACCATGCTGTAACATTTCAACATCATTTAAAACAAAAGTAAATTATAAAAGTTTGCCTGAATTGAATGTACAAGAATATGTTGAACACATCAGTGCAAAAGGATTTGAGAATTTACATGATTTAACCAAAAAAAAAACCCCACTTAAAAAGCAATCTCATATATATATATATATATTTATAAACTGAAGTTTTTACTACAATTAATCAACACAGACTGTTCCAGCTTTCAAAGTCTTTGATTATAGGACACCCAAAATCTTTCTATATTGGTTAAGCCCTTAAAATAAATTCAATTTATATTACTCCTCTAAGTACCAGAACAGTATAATTCTCTCATCTCTCAGACATACAATATAAGGAATGAATATCAGCAGCTTAAAAATGAAACACTTACTGTATTTTGGTTTTCCTCTTCCCAAAAAATATAAATATATACTGTATATATTTTTAGGTTTTGCTGTACTTTACAAAAAGTTATCACTAGATGGCAGCAGTGCATTTTAGAGATTTGCCAATTTAACAGCTACATTAAGAAAGTAAATGATGGTGCATGCATGATTTGACTTTTTACTTCTAACACTGAAATATCTTGGGGGGAGGAAGCAACACTCACAGCACATCAAGCCCAAGGTAGTTTACACCTTCTACACTGAAGCATTGTTAAAATGTATCTGGGTATGTCATCCTTACAGGACAGGCTAAATAAGGCATGCTTTTTTAGACAGTCATTGTTGCTCACTTGAAAAGAAAAATCAAATAGAACTGGAGTTCTAGAACCAAGAGTTCCAACCATTAATTTCGCAGGTTATATTGCCATCAGTCTCTCAGATTTAAAGCTCTGTGGAAAGAGAAAATTGATAAGAAAGGTTTTAATCAATGATTAATACCACCCTGAATACAGTATGCCATAGTGCACATAATAAAACTGCTAGTGTCAGATTTGCTATTAAGATAAAGGCTTTTCTAGTTTCAACCTGTAAAACATCAGTTTCATACCATATCTACAGAAATTATATTTTTAGGGGGGGGGCGAATTTACTTTGCCACTAAGGCCGTAAGTGCTGCACAGGTAAGAATCATGATAGCATTTGACTAATGTTGTGTGAATATGCATTAATTACCATTCCTAGGCTATTATGGCAGGGATCGTTTATAAAAATCCGTGGGCAGTGTATCCTTTTCAGTAATGTATGGAAGAGTAAAAATGTCATACTTACATTATACGCATTGTTTTTAATTTGTGTTTCTCTGGCGTAAGTTTTTATCTTTGTGATTGTTCGTAGAGTTGCTTTTCCTTTAGAAGAGAAAAAGTTACATTATCAACAATTTTTTGTAACAGCAGCATGGTTAAGAGACAAGTTGCTCACAAGAATGCAGTATTGTAGGCATGTTGGTCTCAAGAGACAAGTTGGGTGAGGTAATACCCTTTATTAGACCAACTTCTAGTGGGGAAGACAATCTTATACACTCTAAACTCAAAAGCTTGTCTGAGTGCATAAGCTTGTCTCCCCAATGGAAATTGGCGTAATAAAAGGTATTACCTCACGCACCTTATCTTTAAGTCATTCAAAGATAAGAGCCAAGAGAACACCTGTCTTGAATAATCTTGTGAAATCAGCAAAAGCAAATATTCACAACACTTGCTTTTGCAGGAAGGTTCTTGCAATATAATTTCCCTTACCGAAATGAAGTAGAAGATTTGGAGCACAAACACGAGTGAAAATCAGCAGGTTTTATTTGTAAGAGTATTTACAAATATTTTTGCTGTATTTTTCCAGCTTTATGATTAAGCCCTTCATCTCTCTCACATTATCTGATTTTGTATTGCTCTTCCTGGTTGGGGAAGGAAAACCAAACTAGGTGGCCTTAACCCACAGGTTCTTTGGGGCAGGAAGTATTTTTTTTATTTGTATAAATACCTTCTAGCACAATATGTCAATCCCCACTAGAAATCCAGAGTGTTACAATACAAATGGTAATTGCTATTATGCCTAAATCTAGGTTTCATGCATTACAAAATCCCATAAAACCACCAAGCTCTTCCATGAAGTAATTTTAAGCTACATATTCAGTAATAGTGCCTGAACTACAAAGCCTTTCAATATACTCAGATAAAAGTACTTACATTGGCCCAGCTGGTTCATCATCTGCAGCAGAAGTCCCACCGTGATCCAATGAAAAATAAAAAAAGGAAGGAAAAAGAGGTGTCAGTTTCTGTTTAAAGTCTAGCTGGACAGTGAACAGCAAACTGATCTATCTACAGCGTTAAAGGCCATTCCACTTGGTAGTGCAAAGGTTCATGAAGTTATTTTTCTGGATTCAGGTTTTAATGGCAAATATGTTGTTTCAATGGTTTGAGTTAACACTTTGAATGCTCGTCATGAAGAACTGCAACTGTAGTGGACAGATAGTTGCAATATGGTCATACTCATCTTGTCCCCAAGTTCCAGTGGTTCAATCTTATAAATTAGATGAGAAGACAAACCAACATTTCAGTTGTAAAATCCTGCTGTGTGTTTTCTTGAATTAATTTTATTTTTAAAAACAAAAAAACCCCACACATTCATCAACTCTTGATGGGCAAGTACCAGTATATACATAAGAGGTATATACCATAGCTTCTCCCCCAAGAATGATACAACCCATTTCATGTTCCCTTTTTCCACATCACATTGAACCAGTTTTTGGGGGAGCTGGAAGCTGCAATACTTTAATGTAGTGTAAACAAAAGCAGTCCTTGCATAGTAGCAAGCACTGTGCATGTGTGTATCAGGACAGGACTCATGTAAAATACTGGGGAATGGTGTTGCAACTCCCCTTGAGACAACAGACTTCAGCTACAAACAGACTTGACAGCACTGATCTGCCTGTGTCTCTCGGCAAAAATGCCAGAAAAAACGCTGCATTGTTTAGAAATTAAAAAACAATTTGTTTTGTTTCAACATATGCACTTTCATGAACAATTTAATATTGTATAAATGCCTTATTTTGCTCCCAGGCTGCACTAGAGAAAATAGTAATTGGGAACCTTTAAACGGTGTTATAACAATTAATTCGCCAGGTTGTGTTATTGCATCTTATAGGACTGCTGTTGAGGAGCAATCATTTAATCCATTGTTTTAAAGCATTTTTTTTTTAATATATATATAAAGGTGGAATTTTTTTCACTGAAGTCTTTAGGAAACTCTCAGCAGGATTCCACAAGGGGGCTAAGTGCACATGAAGCAGTTATGGAAATTACAGTCTTAACAGTGTAGGCATCTGCATGAGCACACACTAGGAGTAATGTCTGTCAAAAATAGGACATTACTCCACCTGTACCTTCCAGGCAACGGATAGGCAAAGCCACCGCCAGCACAAACAGTGACCGGAACAAAAAAATATTTCAAAAAAATAAAGAACTAACCACAAACCAACAGCTTTACAGCCAAAGTAACACACTAGCGACACACTAGTGTCCACAGAAGTCCATCACTAGCAACAATGCACTATCGAGACAAGGTACAAAGAAAACTATGACTAGTAAGGACAACCAGACATCAATGTGCTGTATATACAGTGGAGATATACAGAGACATATCCAGGAACTGAAACACAAAGCACAATAGAGTAAAAACTAAGTTCTGCCTGCACACACATCTTTCGATTCCTAAAAAAATTTCAAAACAGACAGCGCTACATACTCTACAAACTATACACTGCATGGGAACTTTTTAATGGAATCGGACAGACGGTGAGTCCTTAGTTTTTAATATTTAAGGATTAGTATGGTTAGTAATGCCCTATATAAGCCAACATTCTACATCAGTTGTAATCTCAGCCTTCTACAAATATAATGAACATCTCAGGGAGTTTAGTTGCTAGACTTCAGAAACATAAAACTATACTATTGGGATGCAAGCCATCCCTTGTTATGGTAACCATTCTGTGATCTTAACTAAAATACATGTAGCATGGATGCAAATTCCAGATGAATAGTTTAAGTGTTAGACTAACATTTTTCTGATTTATAAAGGCTACCAGCAGATGTTGTCCTAGCAAAGATCTAGAAACTGAAGGAGCTGTGTCTGTAAGAACAGTTACAGTTAGGCACAAACAGACTATCTTCTTCCTTCCACCCATCTATATTCTATAACTTCAATAAAATGAAATTAAAATGCCTATGTATGTCACTAGCTTGTTGTTCAGCCATTTAACTGCTGAAAAAGCCTCCCCTGTACAGTACAATACAGTACAGACAAAGGACCAAAACCCTAATAAAGAAATCAGAGGGGGAACAGAACTACAGAAAACTAAGTACAAAATTAAGAGTAAATAAAGATTAAAAACAGCAAACTGAAATCCAAATTAGTTGTGAACGTGAATGAAGAAACTTTAAGAAAAGTGTTAACATTATGAACTGTGCATCGTATAGACTGAAGCGGAGATTAAACAAACTCCAAAGCATGCAGATCTCTCACTTACCACCATTTTTAAAAGGGTATGATGCAATTGAGGGGGGAAAAAAAAGAAGTCATAGTAACCGACAAATATCAATATAACCCGAAAGCCTCATGTCAGAGGTCTGCTCTAGTAAGTGTCTCCAACTCATTAGTATTTGAATCAATGGTCAGAGAAGATAAGAACATGTCTCTTCATTTCATTCAAATGTGTGGGGTGATAGTGCTGTGCCAGGCTCTTGAAAAAAACATCAGTCAATCTTCAATTTCACAAATTGCTACACTACTCCCCTCCCTCTTCAGGAATTTGTTACTTAATCTGGAGGCAGATTCCAGTGAATCATTGTTTATTTAATTCAAGATTAATAAACCTTGCTTGTGGGTAAATGATTATTTTCTTAACATTGTCCTGTTGAAAAGTTTACAACCTCTAGTGTCTAAGTCTCAGAGGGGGTGGTAACCCTGTTAGTCTGTACTACAAAAGCTTAAAAAACAATAATGTTCCTATAGCACCTTAGAGACTAACCAAAAATATACATAGATCTATAATTACAGATCAATATATATTTTGGTTAGTCTCTAAGGTGCTACAAGATCATTGTTTTTAAAGTTTTTCTAGTATCTATAGCTAGCTAGCCCTCCTGCATGGAGCCATGTACATGCTAATAGAGCTAAGGTCACATTTGTAGTATGAGGAATGAACAGAGAAACTAATATAATTCAGTTCTAATTTCCTTGTCTGTCACTATCAACATTACATTTTCTCAGTTTAATTTCTCATATTATCCAGTTATTGTGTGTGTGTTTAAGGGAAGTATGTTTGAGTGCAGTATGTTGGAACAGTTACACTAGAGTGCCCTATTTAGTACTAGATTAATATTTAGTGTGGCCTTTTGTGTTGCTGTAATGCAGACATTACAAAATTTAACATGTCTGATATTCTCAGCATATAGTTTCCTAATAGGAACAACTTAAATTACACCCAGGAGGCTCATTGAGAACTAATTTCCAAAGCTGAATTTTGTTTTAAAAAGTTAAATATTTTTCACCCTCAAAAGTTCATTTTGCTGCTGAATATCCCTTTATCTAATGTAATTCATACTGCTTCTGTTTAATGTTTCACTGAAGTGAATGAACGAGGAAGTTTCAAAGAAAAGCAGCAGCATAAGAAATGAATATCTTAGGGTACGTCCAGACTACATGCCTCCGTCGACGGAGGCATGTAGTCTGGACGTACCCATAGATCAGAGTCACAGGGCAGCAGTCAATTCTGCTCCCTTACCCCATTTCAGAAAAATAGTTGTGGCCCAAACTTATGCCTAATTTAATCTCAAGTACTTTTTTTTCTTCTTTTAAAATGAGTAGTCTGTTCCACTTGGAAGTCTAGTTTTATAATGGAACTGCTCATAAAACTTAGCAGCTCCATAAAAATGTCTACAAAAGGAAGTACACAAGTGCAAAGCTGCTTTAACATTTTGCCTTTCCAAGAAGAGAAATCAAAACAATCTAATGGGAAATGTGAACATTCTACTTCCAGAGGGCTTTAGACTTTATTGGTACAATTTAAATCTTTGTATTTTATTCCTCAGCTTCCAAAAAACACATGATCAGTACTTGGGATGATCTGACGACTTCCAAAATACAGGATAATATTGCGTACTTAAAAACGAGCAATTTTCTGGAGATATGCAAGCTTTAGAAGAGCTGTACATGAAAACCCTTATTAACTGTCAAGGGCTTCTGTTATACACAAAGATTTAGAGGCAACACTTACAGACACTAAGTCTGAATTTTGCAATAAGAATTATTTTCATATGATTTTTCTATCACGCTACATGACCAATAGGAAAATGGGATAAAAGACTCATGGGCAGCATAAACTGAACATTACTGAAGAGTTCATATACCAAAAAACAATCAATCAATCTGAAATGGAATGTAGGCATAAAATTAGATTGATTAGAAAACATAAGACCAAGAGTGGTCAAATCAGGTATAGAATGAATTTTGTTCCGATAAACAGTATCTATCAAACACATACAGTGCTAAATGGCAAAACCCTTGCAGAGTAATTCCATTTGGCTGTCACTGTGCTACAGTGATCCTCAGCTGCAGGTATAGCTAACTCCTGGGTGTTTGACACTTTTCACCCTTGGTAAGGTTAGGTGTGGAGGACAGAGGTGAAGAAGGGCAGTAGAATTTTTTAAAAAACTTTTACAAGATAAACCATTTCAGTGAAATATACACTTTTGTTCTTTAAATTACTACTTACAGTAATAACAGTAGCAGAGAAAAGCAAGAAAAATGAGAATTAGAAAAAATGTGGGGTAATGGAATGCAACTGCTGCACAACTAGAGCAGAAATAGTTATGAAAATAGTTTACTTCTGAGTAAGCTGAGCAATGAAAAAGGAAGAAAGAAGGCACATGTTATAACAACGAAGTTATTTCATGGTTTAAACTAAAGATTATGTAGAAAATGGATTTGGAAGTAAAAACTTAACTTGCTACATTCTTGGGCAGAAATGTAACCAAGGAGCTTTTACTTTCTACTTACCCATGAACACACACTTAAAAATTTAATTGCCAAGTAAAACATTTTCTTAATTTTAAAGCCTCTGAAATATCACAAAGGTCACAATGGCTGATCTCTCTCTGTCATTACAGTCTAAAAAAAAAAAAAAAAAGCAGCTTAAACCACCATGGCCG